TAAGTGTTTGTGTTGTTAGGACTGAAGGTGACCACCAGAATTGTTAGTTGTAGTGATTTTTAACTTATTTATAAACTCGCAGGAATTGGGGGGAAGGACTTACCAGAGGATCCTGTCACGTCACGCCTTGAGTCAATTCAGAAAAAAATCTTAACATTTACACAGCTTGTACTCAGCCAAACGTTGTGTCAGGCCCGGCATATTTCACTTAGCTGGTGCCTTGGGCCCTAGTGTCAAGTATACATTTATGGAAAGGCCACAGAGCTGGTTCCAACACACCAGCCATAGCAGTGGGAGCTGGGAAGGGCCAGCTGAAACATGAACTTGAGAAGTAGCTGAGGGGGTGGCAGCTCCGGGCCTCATCCTGCTCAGCCCACTGGGAACATTCACTGAGTGGCTCAATCTGGCTTTTAACAACTCCTGTCTTGAGTCACAGTGCTCCCTGTAACTCTGACTCAGGGGTTCTTATTCTGCCTCTGACAAGTCTTCTCACTTGTCCACATGGTAATTCTTCCGACAGGTGAAGACATTGATTTGTATGCTTCCTCCCTCCCTCCCTCCCTCCCTCTCTCAGTCTTCTTTCTTTCAAGACGAACACCTCTAGTTTCCTCATTTTGAAGGAACTTCAGTTTGTTAGTGGCCTACATCATGTGAAGTAATAATGGTGCTCGTTTCTGAAGAGAACACTCTACAGTGCAGACTGCCATCACACTTCTTCTGCTATTCCAGGCCACAATTGTGTGGCTCTTTTATTGGCAGGTACATTGTGCTCATTGAGGGATCTTCTTTTTAAATTTGTCTCTTTACATGTATGTGGTTTCCTAAAGTAGCCTAGCTTCAAAGATTAATTTTGCCATTGCTACCCGTACATATCTATATTGTTACTATGTGTCTGTGTGTGTGCATTATTGAAGAAACCAGCCACCGTGTCACAAGACCGTCCAGTAACCCGATACTGAGGCTCCAGGGGAATGGTCTTCTTGGAAGCAGAGCCTCCAGTCCTCGTCAATCACATCTTCCGTGAAGCGCCTCAACCGACTGCTTGACTCCAGCTTCATGAGAGACCTGAGCCACTGCCGCCCGACCCAGCCATTCCCCAAACCCCCGCCCCACTGAAAATATGAGATGATGAGTGATTTGTCAGACACTGAATTTTGGCATCACTTGTAATGTAGAAGTAGGTAACTAGTACTTCTTATCCTCTTATGCAGAGGTGAAAGTTAACCTTCCTGTCCTTTAGACCTTTTTTTTTAACAAAGAGGTAAAAATTGTATATACATATGCATACATATCTTTCACACATTGAAACCTTGGTGGTGGAGTGGTTAAGCACTAACGCTAGGTTGGTGATTTGAACCTACCAGCTGATCTGCAGGAGAACAATGTAGCCGTCTGCTTTGATGAACATTCACACCCATGGAAACACTGGGACCTCCTGTTCTGCACGATCACTATGAGTTGCAGTGGACTACTCAACAACAATGGTTTGTTTTTTGGTTTTATATAAAACCTATATACTTACTGTACTTCTTTAAACCAAAACTGTGCTTGTTACCTGGATGTCATTGAACATACATGGGTGTCTTTCCATACTAATGCCATTTTAATGGTTATAGTATTCTATATAATATGAAATAACTAAATATCTAAATAGTTCATTTTCTAATTTCTGCCTATCATAAATGGTAGCTAAATTGTTTTTCCTTTCACTGGTTAAGTTCTGTACACTTGACTTCTTATTATACTCTAGAACTAGAATTTTGATGTTTAAAAGTTAGGCATATTATTGATTTTTTAAAATCAATTTTAGTGACTTTTTCTCAGGAAAGTAGCAATTTTGTTAGCAACACTGGATGTTAGTTTTAAAAATTCTTACTAACCTGAGAGGCAAGAAAATGGTGCTGGTTTATTTTCTATTTGATTACCAGTGTATTGAACTTTTTTTGGTTGAGTTGCTCAACCATTTATTAGTCCTTCATGAATTGTCTGTTCAGATACCTTGCCTTTTCCCTACCTCCATTGTCATCTCAATTTTCTGGATTGGCTTCATGAGAGCTCCTGGTGCCTGTTTACACTGTCCTATGTTGCTCCTATTTTCCCCAACTTGTCATTTTTCTTTGTTTTCATAGATAATGTGTTTTTCACACTAATGACTTTTACGTGCCAAGTCTAGAATTCACCAGTATTCCTTTTGTTTTTCACTTTTTATGTGACTTTAAAGATGTAGGCGTCTGATTTTACTTTTCTCCAGGTAGCTACTTGTCCCATTAGTTGTTCTGTGTCGTTAATCCCCGAGTAGTAGTTGTGACGGATACGCTTTTTTTACTTCTCATCTTTACAAACTGGTTATTGGTGTTTGAAAAGACAAACCGTTGATTGTTGTATTTGTCTTATCTGACTTAGTTCTCATATTCTAGTTTTTCCATTTGCTTTCAGTTTTAGAAAACTATAACCAATAACAGTTGCTCTTAAGGCAGTTCGGACCCCTGACCATCCTGAGTGTATTAAAGTAGAACTGTGCTCCCATGGTTTTCAGTGGCTGATTTTTTAGAAATAAAGTGCCAGGCCTTTCCTCGGAATTGCTCTTCAGAGATTCCCAGAAAATGTTATTTACAAAGAGTAATCATTTGTCAGAGTTTTCCAGTATGCCTTCTTTCATTGAGTAGAACATCTAGAACAAAGTTAGTAATAGCAGTGGTGATAGCGTATTAGACCTTGACTTTTGAGCACATGGATTTGCAGAAGGCTATGGATGAGCGTGACCATTCAAAATTCTTTTGTAGAGTCCCCACATAGATTACCTCCACCCTTTCCAGCCAGCCCAGGGAGGGGCAGTCTATTAGGGGCTAGCCCAGGCGGGCCCTTAATGGACAGCATAGGGATAGAATAGTCATGAATCATGCCCTGTGAGTTGTGCCTTGACTGGACACCTTGGTCAGGAGGCCCTGCACAAATCATGTAAGCTCTTCTGTTTTAACATAATATTCATGACCCAAATCTTGGTCCATTTCCCGATTCTGTATTCCCACCTATAACTGGGATATATTATTTTGCCACCAGTCATGAATTTGTGAGCTACTTTTGTTAAATGCCTTATTTAACGCATCCTGGCGTAGGACCTCATCTGCTAGCTTCCATCATCCAGATGAAGTGTCTGTGTCTTTGTGTTGTCATTATCCCCCTTTTTTTTGTTGTCATTATCCCTTTTAAGACTTAATACATGTTCTCTTCAAATTATATTTGAGATTAGGCTATCTTTTGTACCCTAAAACCGTAGTCACCCTTATCTGATTCTAACTTTTGTTAAAGTACCTCAAATACGTCAATGTGAATTTCTGTTTTTGCTGTTCCTTTCAATACACTTCATGGGGAGAAAGTCCTCTTCCACTACGAAGATACCACATGTTTTAGCAGGATCAGATGTTGAGTTCTCATCAAAAGTCTTCTTAGTGGCTTGTAAGAGATAACCTTTTTCATATTTTTAATTTCATGGTATTCATCACAGATTAGATAATGGTACTACCATAAAATGATCCCTTTTTGGTTGTGATGCACTATTACACTAATTTGCTCTCGAAACCTCACTGCCATTGAATTGATTCTGACTCAGCGACCCTACTGAACAGGGTACAGCTGTCCCTTGTGAGTTTCATGGACTGTGATTCTTTCTGGGATTAGAAAGTCCTGTCTTTCTCCTGCAGAGCAGCTGGTGGTTTTGAGCTGCTGACCCAGCAGGTAGCAGCCCAAATGCATAACCACTACGCCACCAGGGCTCCTACAAACTTACTGAAATAAACCCAAACCAAACTTGTTGGCAGTTGATTCTGACTCCTAATGACTGTAAGGGTAGAACTGCCCATAGGGCTTCCAAAGCCAACGGAAGCCAATTGCCACCCAGCTGGTGAGTCCAACAGCTGAGCTTTTGGCTGAGGGGGTAACCACTGAACCATACAACTTGCTAATGTATCCTTTGGAATTTGGTATGTATACGTATAAATTTGATTGCAGCAAATTATTTTATGTTATTTTTTTTAGCCATTGTCTGTCCAAAGCTCACTAAACGACCTTTTCCTGGTGGGTCTGGATAGGAGGAGATGTGAAGGTGGGAGAAGACACGAATAGAATTCAGCAATAAGTTGTTGTTAACAGGCTATTTTGATTGACATCCTGCTGGACTTAAAATAAGCCCTCAGAGAAGCAGGAGAAGGGAGCACAGTACCAACTAGAGCCAGAAATGGAGCTCATTCATTCGTTCTCTGGACCAGGTGATCCCTGTGAACTTCCTCGGTTCAAAAGACCTTGTAATTCATTCGTTTTAAAATGTATTTATTTGTAATTCATTTATTTTAAAATGTATTTCATATAATCCCTTTGCATATTTTAAAACTCTTGGTTTAAAAACTTGGGGTTGAGGGCAAGTCTAACAAAGTTCTTTTAGCTGTGCTAATTAAAGGCCCAGCGGCAGCCCCGTCCTCCAATAAGCATGTGCCCAAAGGCACTCAGCTTGAGCTCTACCGTCAGCAAACTTCGCTTTCTTGGTCCATGGGCCAGGAAGCCTACTTTTTTTGGGGGGGGGGGGCAGGAAGCCTACTTGCTCATCTCCTGCTTATGCTGCCACCACTTCTCTGCCACTGCTTCTTGCCATCTCCTGGGCCACAGCTCTTTATCTCTTGGATCAAGGATGTTCAGCACAGGGATCTTGTGTCTAAAGATGTTCCCCACTCCTGGCTCTTTCCCCACCCCCCTAAAAAAAAAAAGAAAAGTGTTATTGACATAAAATTCACCTAACACACAATGCAGTGGTTCAGTCCATCAAGAAAAGTGCAGTCACCACCACAGTCGGTTTCAGAACATTCTCTTCATTCTGGCACTCACTGTTACTGGCTCCCATGTGCCCCAACTTCCCCTGCCGTGCCCCCCCCAAGAACCATTGGGGAGAGGGCAACAACTTGGGCTTGAAAGTTTGTGTGTATTTTTTTTCCTGTTTTAATAATAAAAGCATTTACAACTGGGAATTTTCTTAAAAGCATAAACTTTCAGCCCATCTTCTAGATGAGGGTTTTAAGTGCATTTTCTAAAAGAATTTGTAATTGTATTTTTGACTTTTGGTTTATCCATAAGTTCTTTTTTTAAGTTTTTACATTTTTCTGAGTAGATTGGGTGTGTACAATATACATTTTTGAACTCCTGATTCTATCTTGTTGTGGTCAGAAAGTGACTTACACCATCTCTGCCTTGAGGTTTGCTTTCTGGCTTATGCATAACCAGTTTTGACAAATGTGCTGTGTACTTTCTAAAAGATTAGGTATTATCTATAAGACATACGATTTGATGGAACATACTTTATTTCTAAAGTGCCATTAAGGAACCCTGGGGATGCAATGGTTAAAACGTCCAGCTACTAACTGAAAGGTCAGCAGTTCAAACCCACAGCCCCTCTGCAGGAGAAAGATGGGGCAGTCTGCTTCTTTAAAGATTTACAGGATCTTGGAAACTATGGAGTGGTTCTACTCTGACCTATAGCGTCACAATGAGTTCCAAAAGACTCATTGGCAACAGGTTTGTTTGTTTTAAAATGTGATTGTGTGCTAGCTGTGGCAACATGTCTACTAAAATTGGAACGATACAGAGAAGATTAGCTTGGGCACCGTGCAAGAATGACATGCAAATTCATGAAGCGTTCCATGTTTTTAAATAACAACTGGGTTTTAAAGGCTGGTTTCCAAACAAGCAGTCATCTAAGTGAGCTGTCACCTAGGTCCACATGGAAGAAGCACACCAAGATTCGTGACTGAAGGATTGTAAATTATATAATCCGAAGGCAAAGCAGAAAATAATATCAGAGCCTAAATTGTAATATTCTGGTTTGTGGAAGGCTATGAATGACAATAGCAGCCCAAAATACATAGAGATATGAGATCTACATAGGAAATAGGCCTCTGGTGATTTTCCTCTATCCATAACAGAGGGTTGGGAAGAAACTGGTTACCAAACAGTGCATTTGAGATCAAAATGATAAACCTGACTCATATGGTTAAAACCTTGTCAGTTGACCCTCTCTGATGCACGTTAGACCTGATCTGGTTTTCAACTTTTTCTGAGGGATTTTGTTTGTTCATTTATTCATATTGGGGTTTATCTCAGATGTGTTTTGTCATTGGAAGTGACCTCTTGAATTTTTGTTATGTGTTTCTCTGCTTTTAGTATATAAAACCCAGGATTGATGAACCTGTAGAGAGAGCGAGTAGAATAAGGGTTTCTGGGGGGTACAGTGCAGGGGCGCAGGCATGTAAAAGGGAGCTGATATCAAGGAATTCAAGAAGGAAGAGAATGTTTTGAAACTGATTGCAGTAGCAATTGTACAATACTGCTTGATGTGATTGAACTATGGAATGATAGGATATCTGTATTAGCTCCCAGTAAAATGGCTTGGGAGAAAGAATACAGATGTCATTGATTATAAGACTTAGAATAAACAATAATGCTTCTGAAGAACATTTTAAATGTCTGTTAGTAACTGTCAGAAGATGTATCTCGGTCTCAGCATCTATATTCTCATCCTCCAGGCTTGCTCTCTGTTTTATGAGCTATGGAACCCATCGATTTGTTTTGTTTTGTTTAAATCATTTTATTGGGGGCTCGTACAGCTCATCAATCCATACATCCATTGTGTCAAACACAATTGTACATATGTTGCCATCATCATTTTCAAAACATTTTCTTTCTACTTGAGCCCTTAATATCAGC